TTTTGCTCCTCAGCATGGCTTCATAAAAACACTGCAGGATTTCTCAAACATGATGAATGAGTCAGAGCAAGGCTTTGGACATGTTTTTATGAGAGTATAATATTATAAAATGATATAAAACTCAAAAAAGTTGATTTTACATGATATTGCCTCTTTAATAAAGCTTAACGGGACGACTCAGCCTCTGTGGACGAAATTTGGACGCAGCCTAAATTTATTATTCTCTTCCCATGTGTACATTTGCATTCCCACACCTGTTAGTGTTTTCATTGTGTATTTTTTTCTGTCATTTGTCAGGTTTTAGAAGAAAGGATGAAGCTGGAGTGCAAGTGTCACGGAGTCTCTGGCTCCTGCACCACCAAAACCTGCTGGACAACACTTCCGAAGTTCCGCGAGATCGGCTACGTACTCAAGGAAAAGTATAATGAAGCTGTGCACGTGGAGGTCGTCCGGGCTAGCCGCCTGCGCCAGCCCACCCACCTCAAGGTGAAACAGACTCTGGGCTACAGGAAGCCCATGGAGACGGACCTCGTTTACATTGAGAGGTCGCCCAACTACTGTGAGGAGGACGCGGCCACGGGGAGCGTGGGCACCCAGGGACGCTTGTGCAACCGCACGTCGCCGCACACGGACGGCTGCGACCTCATGTGCTGCGGTCGAGGCTACAACACGCACCAGTACACCAAAGTGTGGCAGTGCAACTGTAAATTCCAATGGTGCTGCTTCGTCAAATGCAACACGTGCAGCGAGAGGACGGAGGTGTTTACCTGCAAATAAGGCTGCAGGAAACTCTTTTCAGCAGGAGGAGCTGGATGAGAAAGAACCAGACAGAGTGGGATGTCCAAGCGTTTTCAACCCGTTGGAGGTTTAAACATGAAACAAATGGAATTTACACTAACAGCTCTTCATGGCATCGTTTTGCACAGCAGATATCTAATTGCTTTCCAGAAAGTAATTGCTAATTCTCAGTAGGTAATAGCCCAGAACTTTACCGTCACATTGTGATCATGTACTAATGCATCCACGGTGAAGTTTGGAGTACCCATAAAAAACAGTGGAAAATGTGCTTTGCACTCTGGGATCTGCATGTAGAGGAACTCAGAGGAACATGCAGACTGGGAGGGAACGGACATCAGCTGATGTGAGGTGATGGGGAACGATTCGTCAAATCTTTGCTAAAAGGGACATTTACAGTTTTTGTTGTATTTTTGCTAAACAGGAGTTTATGAATGAATCTTGACAAGTAGCCTCTGCACCGGCTGAGGTCGCTGTTAAAGGTGTAGAAAGGAAGAAGCACGGTGCATTGTGTTGCACCTATAAAGTTTAAGTGGAGAACTCTGTTAAACCCTCTGCTGCCAACTGGAATACGGTGGAGAATGTTTAGTTTTCCAGTAACACTGGAACTGTCTGTTCTGAACACTGAAAATAAATTGTCTATTTATGTTATAGTATCTTAAAACGCACTAACGGGTAGAAATTTCTTTTCCTTTTTTTGTACTAAATGTAAAGTAAGAAAATTATTTTTAGAGACTGACTAAAGTTGTGTGTTCATTAGAAGATAACTCAACAATTCCCAAAAACTTCAACTTTTCCTCAACTAGAGGAAAGTAAAATAAAAAAAAGCTTTTATTGCTGCTGATTTGCTAACAACAAAATACATCATTAGACTGTGTTTCACATTTAAACATCTCATCATTCTGGGTTGTTATAGTTTGTTTGCAGTCCTTTTTCCCCCACAAACTTTTTCTTGCACAGATCCCTCGTCAAGTGATTAAATATGAGTTCATAAGTTTAATGTGTTTTTGAGTCTTAATCGCCTATTTTCTACCTAGAGATAATTTATGAAAGGCTTCTGTTTTGGGATAATTTGCCAGTTTATCGCCGCATTATTACCTGCAAACATCAATAGAATAAAAAAAAAAAACAATAATTTACATGTTCTTTCTACCTAAAACAGTTTGTTAAAATGTGAGAAAAACAGTTGCTTTTAGTTTGGATTATTTTAGTCACAGTGTTACTTCTGAGCTACAAATTAAATCAACAAATAAAACACCCAATGTGCCTAAAAAAATATAGTTTATAATCACATATTTGTACAGATCAGGGATGGCTATAGTGAGGTAAACACAGCTGGAGGAAAAAAAATTTATCGTTATTTTTTTCCAAGTTTTTATTTTTTTTCAAAATTTGTTAATCTAAGAATAATCTATAATTTAATTGTCTTACTTTTAAAGTAAAATAATTTTAAACTCTTGATATTCATACAAACTACCATATGACTTGAAGGAAAAACAATAAAAAATGCCAAAAAATCCCTAAAATTCAAGCCTCATTAATAGCATACTTTACATGTGAATACTTTTTTGTATGTAAAAGTCCTCGGGTTTTTATTTTATTTATTTTTTAAGTTTTCCAGTTATTTGAAGAGTTCAGCTTTAATTGACAGAAACTATATTTTAATTCGATAAGCTCACTGGTGCTCATTAAGCCCTTTCTTGCCGCAATAAAGTGACAGATAAGATATATTAAAATAGAGTTTTGGAAAAAGTTATGAACAGTTAATATCTTACCTGCTGTAGAAGCCAATGGAATGGCCTCCGTTTATAGAAGTTGTTTGTTTCTGACTGGGTTGGTGATAATTTCAGGGTCCTGAGAAACTTGAAGGAACTTAATGAAGTAATTCTGATCAAATGGATCCTTTGCTGGACTGAGTGGGACTGCTGGTTTTTAGCCATTCCAGTATATATATATA